GTGTGGCATTTGCAAGCAAACTGAAGGTGGCAAAACATATGTTACAGAGGACAATTAAGACAGTTGCTGAAAGGAAAAAAAACCTCAAGTGTTATGTTTAAGTAATGTTTACAACATTAACATGTTTGATGTGTTTAATATGTACAGTAAACTGTATACAGTACAGACAATAGCCGTGAGGCTGTTACCTCCTACCACACGTGAAAGTGAGAGTATAGGCCTACAGCATGGGTCTCGCTCAGTAAACCACAGGGACGGCCCCCTGGAAACATAAATAATGTCATACAAAAGCTCTGTATTACTCCTGGGTGGTAATAACGTGCCATCTGGATGTTTTCTTTGTAAGACACTCACACATGTTGGAAGAGGCTTTGATATGGATCAATAGATAACGTCCCATCATACATATATAATGACATCAGGAAATTATCTACATCACAAAGATACAGTATATTATCATTCACGCAATGCTTTATAATCAGAAACAATACTCATAACGCACAAAAAATATTGATAAAACTGACAAATAGAAAGGGTTCTGAATGTTTTTTATGCTGGGAACATTAATAAATAAACCAAATACCTCCCTTTGTTTTTAGATATATTGCAAACTCTAAATGTACAATACAACTATTTAAAAGTGCAAAGTAGATTAAATATAGCGCTGTATCACTATAAAAGGCAAAGACCAAATTCTGTATGTCTGTATGTTTCAGTTCTTATCAAATTTCCTAAACTTCACATCTAGAGCCAGAGAATCAACACTGAACTCTCCAGAAGGCAAATGGTACTAATCTAAGACACAAAGCCCAACCTGGAAACACTATACAACAGTAGCAGCCAGCCTATGAAATATTAACCCAACTTAGGCCTTAAAAACACACTCCACTCTGCCTCATCCACACAGTCCAGTGATGTCCTCTAGTTCATGTTGACAAATATCCTTCATAAAGTGTTTTATAATGTTAAAAAAAAAATCGTATAGCCTTTCTAAATAATGTGGAAAACCAAATGTTTTATAGCAAATTGAACAGTGCTACAATTATAGTTTAATTATATATGATTTCCCAAGATTTGGATGCTAATATCTATCCTGCAATACAAAAGAGCACAAGGCAAATTAATGCATTTTTGCATGCATTTTTGTCGTAATGCTGCTTAGCAAATGCATTAAAATATTTGTAAAACATTAAGTCACAGCGCTTAGTACAATGCTGCATCCGTTTCACAATTACATAGTCATGATGCATAAATCTTCCTGTGACAGCAAGCAACAGGATTATGAGTGATTTCAGTTGATTGTGAGGTATTTTGTCCCCACCAGGACTCAGATTAAAGGATCCCTTACACCCCTTATCATGTTATCTGCCCTGGTCAGGATCTTCTTTTCCAGAGGCAGTAAATTGTATACCTGTTCCTAAATGTGCTGGTCTTAACCCTTAAGGGAATCAAGTTACACTAATAGACATTGTGAGCAGCCAAACTGAACATTCTTGAACTGTGTGGCTTTATGATGCTCTTATGAAATCAGAGAGATATTTAAAATCTGATTAGATATTTGTCTGCATGGCTTCAGTACTGCATCATCAATTGTGAAATTATAAATTGTAGGACTTAGACAAACTAGAAATTATACCAGAATATGACAAACATTTAATATGAATACATTTAAAATGAGGGAAATATTGCTCTAATAAGCTATGTTTTTAAAAAAAATTATAATTACACACGAATCATCATTTAAAAAGGAAGAAAAATAAGTTTCATGATTGACTGTTTTTTAAATATTGTGAGGCAATCAAATGTAACAGTCATTAATAACTGCCATAAAGGTCTTATCATTATTACAATTATTTAATTAGCCTCATGTCATTGTAGTGGTTGTGGACGGTTTTGATGTCTAAATGATCTCAACATAACATTTCTACACAGAAATTCTACGTTTCTTCAAAACGAGCCTCTATAAAGAATATAAACTTGTGGTTTGAAAAAAAAAATCACACACAAGCTAGGTAGAGAGAGGAAGAGAAAAAATCATTATTAAGTTGTTCCGCTTTATCTTAATTAATTTATTTTAGGATTTTTGGCAGTACATGACAGACAACAATTAAACTGACAGACCTCCATCAAGCTGGTTAGTCAAGTCTTGCACCAGTAACAAACCAGCTAAACCAAACAACGTTTCAAAAGTCAGCTTGACCACTTTAAACATGAAACATTACATGTTTTAACAGAAGAGATATGGACCTAATTCAAATGGCAAATATACAGTTTTGTTACTTTTCGTAGAAGGAATTTGCAGTGAAGTTCTTAAATTGCAGCACACACATGAGCTAAACCTAACACGAACATAATATAAACACTATCTCACTTTTTGCTGATGATCTTTCCCACCTTACCTAAAAAAATTGATGACAATTCTGTTGTTCTGATCTATTTACAGAGTGTTTTGGCATTGCAAAATCTCAAAAGGCAGAGAATATACAGCTTTCATCAAGCCTCCACCAGGAATCTACCAAAAATTGTCCCATTTTTCCACAGTTCACTCTGAAAAACACCACCACAGTGTGCCACCCATATAGTTCATACATATGAATTATGAAAACATGAAACACAGATCTCAAGGTAATCTTCACTTTCGATGTCTCATTACAGCTGGCCTTCAGTCTGTGAGTGAACCATGGGTATTAAAAGAAAACCAATCCTCTTACTGCAGCTCGGCTCGGGCTCGGGCTCGGGAAAACCACTACTGCTCTGTTTACCAGACGCCTTCAGTTTACTAGCTGACAGACATTTCATATTCAGCTCGCCACCAACTGCAAAGTATTGCGCAGGCTGTCTAAAAAAACCAAACCCATTGTACAACTAAACACCAGTTTACTGTCAAAAAAAATCATCAAGCGAAAGCGACATACACCTAGCAGTCTATTTATATCTAGAGAAAGACTGTCGCGTGTCTCTGTATAACCACATTGAGCGGCCTTCACGATCTCGTGGCCACTCGGAAATCTCCTCCTGCTAGTATTCATACCGCATAGACGAGGGCATCCCCCCCCCCCCTTCTCCTGACCTTGCAGGAAAATGACAGCTTCATCCAACATCTTGAGTAATAATGGATTACATCGCCAAAAATGCAAGGAAAACCGATACAGGACCAACCAAATTTAGACAGGAAAGGTATAGCGAGACAAACACTGCATCAGTGGCACATTATAATCTACTAGTCATCCATTGCTTACAAACTGAGAGGAATCATTTCTCCTTCAAGAAGGTGTATAGAATAAATTTAGACTCCAAAGTATCATAATTCCTCTTGGGTTTAAGTGGGGTTTCTGTCACGGAGCAGCTCCTCGGTCGCTTTTAAATGGCAGTGCTGGCTAAGATTGCAGTCTGCGCATTTTTGACGATGTTTAAGGTCTGATGCAGTGAAAATGTAAACTATGCATGTGAGAAAGGAGAAAAGAAAAGACATTTTCCTGTAAACTAAGATATTTCAGGTTAAATCGCACTGTTGAATCTCCTTCCCCTGCTCGGAGCATCTGCTGGACAGCTCCACGAACACAAAATGCTGCCTTTGGCTTTATCAAACGTCCTCTAACAATCAAGTCATTGTTGATCTATCACAAACAAGAAAATAAAATCCATACCTTTTCCTGCGCCCGACTGAGCCTCTTTTGGACGTTTTTGGCAAATATGCCCGTCTTTATTTCAGCCATGGCTGCTAGTGCTCTGAAAGGAGACAGGCGACGCTTCAGCACCAGAGCGGAGGAGAGCGGAGGGGGAGGAGCACCATTTAAAGACACAGTACGCGCCACAGAGAGCCCTGAGCCCCCTGGCTAATTTACTTGAGTTTCTGACTAAATGTTTTATTTAATGTTATAAATGAGTCTATTTACAAATATTAATTTAAATGAAATCATTATGTAAAAATGTTTTTGAAATAAACGAATGAAGACAGTTTTTGAAGGAATCTCTTGAATGAATGATTCAGACTTCAAATACATTTTAACAGTCACTGGTCGCCACTTAATGGCATAATGTAACATAGCCTAATATTTGAAGCGTAACATTAGTTCCAAAGGTCAATTACTCTGATCGCGGCTGCCGCAAGAGTCTATATCCGGACTATAAAATGTTATCCCAATACTTATTTATTTAATGTTTGCAATACAGACATGTAGCCTACTGTAGACTGTTTCAAACATAAAGCTTACATGATGCGCGCTGCTCTCTCTGGACTGGATCAGCGGCTGCGCGAAAGCAGGTTTAAATATTCCGATGTGATTTCAAAGGTTTAACTGACAACAGCAAAATAACAGTCATTTAGGAATAAGATTGTGTGTGTTTGAATTGAGATCGCGATCTTTTAATGATTTATCATGCATAGCCTACAGATGAGCCTATATAGCCTAGCCCAGAGGTGCCCAAACTCGGTCCTGGAGGGCCGGTGTCCTGCAGAGTTTAGCTCCAACTTGCCTCAACACACCTGCTGGGAAGGTTAGTATGCCTATTAAGAGCTTGATTAGCTGGTTCAGGTGTGTCTAATTGGGGTTGGAGCTAAACTCTGCAGGACACCGGCCCTCCAGGACCGAGTTTGGGCACCCCTGGGCTAGGCTATATATTTTTTGTAGTCTATGTCATATTTGTACAAGACCTCAAAAGTAACAGTAACCTCAAAAGTTGATGCCTCCTCTTTGGCAAAGGCAAAGCAGGCGCAGTGTGGTCACAGTCACCCCTACAGCCCCAGTCGTCTTCGTTTTTAAATTAAGAAATTGTCATATTTTCCATGTTTGTTATTTCTAATGTTTTTAATGAAGTACATACTATACTTAATACTTTGAAATCCGTGCATATGCAAAATAATTTATTTATTTATTTGTTTAGTTTTGGCTGTTTATTATCAATTTCACTTTCAAAGGATCTCCTATTATTACTAGCCTATCAAAAATGATAGTCTCTACAATTCTGAGCTGTGTGCTGTCATCTAGTGGTGGAAAAGATATCCTGCACAGCCTTGGCCTGAGCATCTTACTAGGGTCGGATGCCATGGGCTCTATTTTGGTCAGACTATTTTAAGTGTAAAATTCAAACACGTGTATCTCATTGGTCATATCCTGAAGTCAAACAAAACAGAAAAATGACAGACGGCTATAGGCCGAAGCCACAACTGTGATGTAAAGTAAATATAGATTTTTTATTCGACACCATGTGTCTCCATGGTGGTGATGGGGAATTGCTGTATGTCCACACCATCAGTCAACACTGAACAAACGGAATTTAATGGAGATCGGATAATGACCATTGCAACCAGTGCAGGGAACAATTTGGGACTTAATAAAAAGGACACAAACAGGACTCAGTACTGCACAAGGGTGTCATACCTTTACCACAAGGAATCTGATAATGAAGGGTAAGTTTATGTTTCTTTGAACTTGTGTTTTTCTTTTAACAATTCACAAAGACACAGAACAATAACAGTGTACAACTAAGACCTGCTCCATTGTTGCCAGATCTCGCTAGAACAACGGATACAAAACCAGCAAAAAGCAGACTATGCGTTTTAGTGTTTCTGGATAGAGTGTTAAAATATTTCTGATTAATTTTGTTGTATTTATTGTTGCATAAAATCGCATAAAACACAAAGGATAAGTAAATAGGCTATTATTTAATTATAATTAATATTTACAGCGATTAATGATGCTCATAATATACATTATTTATAGTATATTAGATTCGATTTATGACCCATATCATAAGCTTTGAAGTGAAGAAAATAAATGTTTGATTCTATTATTATGCTATGGGGACGCTAACAAGCCCAAATTAGCGACTTGTGTATCCACAAGAAGGCCCAAAAATTTGAAATGAAGGAATATTTGCTTGAACAAACAAGATTATCGTCGATTAATATAAGACGACATGGCAACAGTAACTAGCTGCGCGCCGGAAAACTACAATTCCCACAATCCTCTATTCACAGGAAGTATTGTATTCGTAGGCTTTACTTCTTGTAATCTTTCTATTTTGTAGTCCCTGTTCGGCAAGACAGTCAAAGCAGGTAAGTTATATAAAAGCGCCTTCAGCTGTTTTGTCTGAGGATGGTTAGTAAAACATTACATTGATTGTTACTATTGGTTGCGTTACTGATGCGGTTATATCACTGATGAGTTTGTGGAGTCTGACTGAATGCGGAAGTGTTCTGTTTGTTTTCTTTTGCTTGTCGCATAACTTGTTTCCATTGTGATGTGCAGAAGTGCAAGAGCAATGTTGTCACCTTCAAGCTGCACGTTTTATATTTAGTTTAATGTATATTTCCCCTCTGCATCAGCCCGCCATGCAGAGATGCAGGTTGAACGTCTCTGCACATGTGTTGTTATGATTCAGGTACGAAGGATGTGCAAAATCACTAAAGTCACCAAGTCAAAACCATGAATAAAACAGCAAAGTCTGCTTGTGATTCTGACCGACAGAGTAAAAAAGTCAAAACGAAATATATTTCCTTAATGCAAAATATAAATTGAGAAGTTATAAATGTAGTCCATTTGAACAGCTTATATCTAAGCATATGTTATTTCATGTTGAATATAACTGATCCTTCTCTTTAGATCGACACAGGGCACTCAAGGTCAGAAAGCAGATGTGAAGGGCCAGGCAGCTGGAAAAGATGCTTGTTCTCCTGGACCTGAGAGAAGCTCGGAGTCTTCCCACACTATGCAAAAACGTGCTCAGAAGGAGGCCAAATCTACTCATAGTGACAGTCATTCATCCCAGCAGGATCTGATGAAGACGCCGTCTGCTGAAGATGAAAAGGGGTATTGTTCCTGTCAATTCATCTCTTTCTGTGCATGCAGTATGGCTTTTGGGTTGTGACACTTTTTTTTTAAGTGTTCTTCAAGGCGAAGAGAAAAAAACAGTAGATAAAATGAATACTTGTAATTATGATTCTGGATGTCTGCTATTATGTGAAACTGAGGCTAAACTAGGTACATCATGTCAAGGGTTAAGACAAGTAATTTTGGAATACATTTACATTTCATTTGCATTTCAAATTTTCCTTTTGGATTTCATGATCACTTTTAGTGACATGCTTCACTCCGCACAAACCATTTTGGGAAGATGGCAGTTTCAATAATTAATAGCTTCTCTTTAGTCCATTTTAGTCTGTTTTAATTTACTAGTTTTATACACGGACAATTCACTATTATGAAATCCATAAATTTTTTTCCCAAATTATATTTTTCTGGATTCCATTTTAATGGTTAAATTTGTAATTAATTGAAACTTATACAATTTAACAACAGTATATTAAATTCATTCAATTTCTTGCCCTATAAAATATGTTTTATTTTTTACAATTCCATTTTTTTCCCCCTTCAAAATTCTGTGTTTCCGTCATAATATTTCTGGACTCCAAATTGTAATAACCAAAAAGCATGTCTAATTGTCTGAATTCATACATAAATGTTGTATTTTTTATATATATATTTTTTTTTCAATAATATGACCCTGTGACAGGTTTTATTTTTTCAGAAATGCAAACGCTGAAACGAGCGTCACAGCCTTGAGTTTGTATTAAATGAAACGGCACCATTTAGTCACACAGAGGCACTTGGTACATGCAGACTTCATATTCAAATAGCAGTCTTTTTGTGCTTCACACTGGTCCACACACTAGTAGACACTAGTCCATATCACATTTTGATTAATTGTACAGCCCTACTTTTGATTTATTCATCCAAAATGTGCCAAATTCCAAGACATTCCATGTTAAATTTCATTTTTATGAATGGATTCCACGATTCTGTCTGCATTTTCTGCATCACAGAAATCATAGGTCCCCATGTATCATATACGTATTTTGACCAAGTGAAGTATGCTTTGATATAAATTAATGTATCTTGCTAAGTAGAAAATGTCACTTTACAAGCAACAACAGTGTTTAGCTTAAAAAAACTTTTCTCATGTGCATCTCTCAATCACAGGCAGCTTTATGTGATGGGACATTTCTAAATATATGGTTACATGAAAAATATTATGCACTGTTTACTAGATTAAGGAAGTGACACAACTTACTATGCACCATTTTACAATGAGTCTTTGTTGTTTCATAGTGATGTGGACCTGTACAGAGGAGAAGAAGAAATTCATAAAGAGCTGCAAGACAAGCAGCAGTCAAAGCCGGGTAGTGCTCAGTTTTTGAAGAATGTTCAGTGTGTATTGAAATGTTGTAAGAGATTTCTGTGAGGTTGTTTTTGCCTGAGCTAGAGGTGTCTTTCTTCCCATCAGCGGCTGTTGGTGAGGCCCAGAGAAGCGTGTCAGCTGCCGAAGATCTTCAGACCTACAGTGAGAGAGAATGGAAAGGCAACACCACAAAAAGTCTGCTTATTCGAAAGGTGAGCCTGCTTCTTTCACACTTTACTGTAAGTGTTTCATTGCTTACACGTGCTTCTTTTTTTAGGGATATGAAGCAATAGCCAGTGAGTTCAATCTGCGCAGAGTAAGAGGTGATAACTATTGTGCATTAAGGGCGACACTCTTCCAGGTGCTCAGCCAGTCAAAACAGCTTCCTGCCTGGCTACATGACTCTGACATTAGCAAGGTAATTTAGCCTTATTGTGCTTAGACGTTAAGCATCCTCACTGATTCTGTACTTGCACAAAGCAGCATGACTTGATCATTATATTTTGCATATCAATATTGAATGTTATTATGTGTTAAATTAATTATTGATTATGAATATGCATTATGAATTTCCCATTATAGTGGCCAAAAGAAATTCAGTCTGATCAGGATTCCATTAAGGATTGGCAGTTTCCATTTGAAACTAGCAATAGCAAAGTGCAGCATCTTGAACAATGTCTGGAGCTACTGAAGAAAAGGGTAACATTTAATTTTTTCTTAATTGCTTAATGTATGAATATCTATAAACATCACTGTTCAAAAGTTTTGTGGGAAGATGTTTTAAATGTTTTTGAAAGGAGTCTCTAATGCTAACCAATGCTGCATTTATTTGATAAAAAATGCAATATTGTGACATTTTATTTTACTTTAAAATACAAAAAAAGCTGAAATTTTAACAGCCATTACTCCAGTCTTCAGTACCACTTGATCCTTCAGAAATCAATCTAATATGCTGCTTTGGTGCTCAAGAAAAAAAAATTGCTTTAATGTTTAAAACAATCAGTGTTGTTCTACTTAACGTGATACATTTTTTCAAAAAATGTTTTAATGAATATAAAGTTCAAAAGAACAGTATTTATGTGAACCAGAAATCTTTTGTAACAGTATAAATGTCCTTACTGTCACTATAATGACAGCAATAAAAAAATAAGATATTTTCAGCATTTCTGCTATAATTTCAACAAAGTTGAAAACTATGAAACTATGAAAAAATTGTTTTTATTAACAGAAACCAAGTGCGTTAATGTTTAATTAACCATGATTTATGTGGTTCCAGATATTTGAAGAACTGTATGTTCTTCAATAAAGAAAACAATAGTTATTAAGAGGGGAAAATATTTTATTAGTTTATATGTTCTTTTAGTATCTTTAATTAGTTTAAAGATAGATCATTTTAATATATTAATAGTGAATTCTGGTTAATTGGGACACTTTTATGCCAATAATTTCTAAGGCTATTTAAATGAATTATTCAAATTGCCTTATATTTCAAAGGTAATTTGAATAAACCTGAATGAATTCACCTATTTATTTAATTTAAAGTCATCCTGTGGCCCCTTTTCTGAGTTTGCTGACACCCTAATGGACCCCGGGCCCCCTGGTTGAGAGCTGTTTATTATATATCTATACAATACGCATGGCGCACAAAAGGAGATGTTAGTCAAAGTGACATCCTCTGTCACGCAAAAACCTGTACGATTGTCGTTTTTGGGTGAACGGTCCCTTTAATTGACAGTCTGTTAGGCAGCAGCGCGTCTCACAAGACTTGCCTGCTCTGCAGCCCCACCTGCTGGCCGACAAATAAGATGTTCGGTTTCACTGAGATTCATGAAAGCCACGTACAATTTTTCTAACGTTTAAGTCTCATTTTGATATTTTATTTATTGTGTTAACATTTCATGTCAAATGAACGTGTAGGCCTACACACAGATAAGATATAAGGACGAAGATTTCAACTCCCTGTGCCGTGCTCATCCCTCTCTAGCAAGCTCTTCTCTGAGAATGAACTCTATTTTAGACATCTGTGTGTTGTTCAGCAGTGTGTTGTTTTTCTGCACGCAGCAGGTGACGTTTAGAAGAGGAGTGGCTTTTATGCGCCGACCGTCCCCCACGTGTTGTTAGGGAAGGATGAGGATTTAAGTACAGTTAACCGAGTGGCCATCTACAGCAGAATAGCGCCTGGCCCAGCGACTCCATGCATACGGCTTTATACCTGTGCCGCACTTAATCGCCGCGGCCGATTATATGTATTTATTTTCCTCTCCACTGATGGGTGAACAATGGAGAAGCCGTCAGCAGAAATTTCTGGTGACCCTCCTATTTTCCCATGCACCAGATCATTGTTTATGATGCTGTTGTTGTGTAGGAGGGCAGGGACGGACCTGATCTCGGCTGATTTCTGCTAGAAAACACTCAGAACTCGACGGGCTGTGATCGGCCTCGCATCCTTCCAGATCCGAGCAGCTGATGTTGGCGGTGCTGCCGCTCTCCTCCAGGCGAACATGGTGAAATTCCCGGCGCTCACGCACTACTGGCCTCTCATCCGATTCCTGGTGCCGCTGGCCATAACCAACATAGCCATCGACCTCGGCGAACAGGCAAGTGTGAATGAATTGTGTGTTAAACACAGCGCTGCTTGACGTAAGATTGGTGGTGTATACTTGGAGCTGGACACTGCAGCAATGGCATCCCTCATCCACCCGTGCTCCTCGCTATAAGAGGTCTGTTTATTTGTGCCTTGCGAACATGTAATGCGTTGCCCACATAATGTATAGGATATAGGGCGACCCTGAGGTTTTATTTCTTTTAATGAATCGGTGAAACGGCGGCCCTTGGTAAACAAGGCATCATCACAAACAACATGAGCCGATCAGCTGTGTGTGTTCGTCAACAGCTGGCCATACAGCGCATCCAATAACATGTGTCACACTGAACAATGCAAAAGCAATCTGACTGAGAGTAATGTGCACTTTTGGATGGGCTGATTTTGTTGTCTCCTCTGCGTGAACTGGCCTTGTTTTTGTCAACCATTAACATATGTTGTGCACTTACAGTAGTTTTTATAGCAGTCATTATGTCTAAAATGGATTGGCTACAAAGACATATTTATTGTCATGTTAAACTCAAATAATTGTGATTTATTGAAAATTAACATTTAGAGAAAGACTGTAGTCTGTTTGACCAAACGATGTTTTCCGATATTCACCTTTTTCAGTTAAATCGGTTATCGGTTCTTCGATATTAGGTGTACAAATAAATGAATGCCATTATATAATAATGTATTGTTTGGATAAATATAACACTTTTAAAATAAAGTAATTTATTCTTCAGCATGAAATGTGTAACTCAATTACATAACAATATTTCAAATATTCATATTGTTTTATTTTTGTGGTAAAATAAAAAGTATTTTTTTGTGTGTGTCAAAAGCTAAAACAAAACTTTCAAATTGGTTATTAAAAACTTGGACATAAAAAATATCGGTCACACTTTATTTTAAGGTCCAATTCTCGCTATTAACAACCCATTAACTATGATGTTTGCCTCAATAAGCTACTAATTTGCTGTTTATTAATAGTTAGTAAGGTAGTTGTTAAGTTTAGGTATTGGGGATTAGGGATATAGAATATGGTCGTGCAGAACATGTGCTTTATAAGTACTAATAAACAGCTGATTAATAGACATGGTAATAAGCAACTAGTTAATAGTGAGAATTGGTCCCTATACTAAAGTGTTACCGAAATATCTGTATTGGTATTGCCCATAAAATGCAATATCGGTTTATCTTAGCTTTGTTGCAGTTGAGAGTTGTTGAGGAAATTAAATTTGCTGACGCAATCCCTCAGTTCTTAGTGACAAATTAGTTTTTTTATTTTTTTTTTTACATAAAATTAGAATGGATTTGATGGACACAACTCGCTACACTGAAGAAAACATTGCCATTCGATTTTTGTTAGATACAAATTTATTTTTCAGAATCACTAATGGCATACAGAAGAAATGTGAGCAGGAACCGTAAGAGCACGTCTGCCCACAGTAACAGACAATCATCTCACTGCACATTGTTCTTAGGCGTTGGAGATGAAGTGGCAGACAAAGAGTCAGAGTCAGAAGAAGGCAGCAGATAAGGAGAAGAACCCTCCATTCACACATCCTTTTGACTTGATCTGTTATTGTACAGGTCTTGCTGCTTCCTATCAATTCTGTGACTGACTATCTACTGTTGTATCGTCCAAATGAAATCTTAAGATTTAAACATAAGCATTATTCTCCTGCAACAAGTATTACAGAATGGTGCCACCACGTTAGAGTCAAGGACAGGGCAGAAAAGTTTATTCATTAGTGCAATAACACCCACAGCTGTAGAGCAAGTAGAACTTATGTACATCTCAGCATTTTCCAACAGGTTTGACATCTGACACATTGCCAAATCACCTTCTCATGTGTTGATGGGGATATATTCTGGCATGTGACAATAAAGCTGTAAAATTGTTCGTAATACAGTTAGTCATCATTGAGATTATTTGTAGTTACTGTAGCTCCACATTATTCAAGATTACAATGGCTCTTGTTTCTGATGATAGTTTACAGGTGTTTCTCTCAAGAAAGGTCCATGAATGAATGTAATTTTATAACAAGTCTTCCTCTTTCTGCGTGACACTGTTGCTTAATCATGTTTAGACATCTGACACATGGTGCATTGTGACACTGTGAAGTTTGTACTTTCGCGCATGTGTGGCTTTAAAAGACAGAAACACTGTTAAGAGTAAATTCTGGGTAAGTGGTCCAATATAGCAAACTGGTGCTCGGATCTGGATCTTTTTCTAGGGGACATGCCATGAAAAGCATTTAGTCAGTTGATACAGGGGTAGTGTTGTATATCTTGGGAATAAAACCCTCTTTGTGTAGAGGAATCGCATGAGGAGTGATAGTTTGTCCTATCACCCTTTCAATTCATCCCTCAACATCAGAAATTAGGTTATGTTTTAGACAAACCTAAATCTAGATTTAGTGTGGAATAATTTTCTAGATCTATATTAAATCTATATCTATATTGTCTAAATTTTTTTATCACTCTACTAGCCCGTCTTGTACAATGCTAAAAAAAAATATAGATTTGGATGCATTTTTATCATTTCTCTCTTCCTCTACAGGCTTTGAACAGGGGTATTGCAACAGTTAAAGAGGATGCAGTAGAAATGCTGGCCAGCTATGGTTTGGCCTACTCCCTCATGAAGTTCTTCACTGGCCCTATGAGCGATTTCAAGAACGTAGGGCTGGTGTTTGTCAACAGTAAACGGGACAGAACCAAGGCAGTCCTCTGTATGGTCACCGCAGGAGCCGTGGCTATCATTTTCCACACTCTTATTGGTCAGTCTGCCAGTTTATTATTTCCTCACATATGCCTCTGGTCTTGCATGACTAGTTTGTACTACATGTACAGGGAACACCGCTTTGTTTTTCACTTTTCCAAACAAACGTGTCATGGTGGTAGACTTAGTAAGCAATGTTATGACTGGAGAAGGACCTCCTTTTAGCTCAAGTGGTCTGAATCACTCAAACCGCACTCATCTCGGCAGATGCATCCATTCTCGGGGGAAAAAAAACTCATTACACAAAGGAACATTTTATTCCAAGCACGGTCTCATCTGCTGTGTTGACGCAAGGGCTTTTTTGCCAGGTTACTACATGCCTGTTCTGTGTACTCTGAGAATGGAGAGGCGTCTCCCAAACAAACTCTATTCAAACTCACAGGGGTAGCTCGCCATTTATTTTCGGATTTTTGTTCACCCTCTATGATTATATTGTCATTAAACAAATTGTGCAAAATACTGCACTCCTACTCCGCAGGAAATAATTTCTGCCACCCATATTTACCCAATTACAAATACTTAAGTTCGTGGGATGTGGTTAAAAATGGTTTAGTCATCATGAAACAGTGTATTTATACAATCTAATCCAAAAATTAGTTTGAAGAATAAAGTATATTTATCTTGAATATCTCCGTTTCTGTAGCTCAAATATATTTGCATTTACACAAATAGCCATTTACATACGAAGCAAGAAATCAGAGCCATTTCCAGCCGCTCAGCAGTACCCATATGGCAGTTACTGCTATGAGTACATTGAGAAAGAATGTAACCCCGAGGGATAAAGGATACAAACCAGCACCTTCTTGGAAGAAGGCATGCATTTTTAACCACTAAGCCACCACCTGTCCGCCATACATAATGATGTGCTTTTAAATTAAGAAGTTATGGTGTGTTAGCATAACATGGACACTCTCCATCATCTTGAGTGTGGTCTCAGTTATATTATGGTCGTTTGCGCAGTCAGAGAGTTTGGTAGAGCTGTGTCATCCATCTGTGGATCACGTCACTGCACACATTCCTGAGAAAAGGGGGGAAAAACAGGAGAAATGGGAGAGATGAGAACTTCTGTATTATTATATTATATTATATATTTTGTTATATTATGTTAGAACTTTTACATCCTTGCATTTTATTTGTTCTAGTTTTAACAGCAAAGCCATCATGTCATATTGTATTATATTATATTATATATTTTGTTATATTATATTAGAACTTTTACATCCTTGCATTTGATTTGTTCTAGTTTTAACAGCAAAGTCATCATGTCATATTATATTATATTATATTTAGTGCTGTCAAACAATTAATCGTGATTAATCGCATCCAAAATAAAAGTTTTTGTTTAGATAGTATGTGTGTGTACTGTGTATATTTATTATGTATATAAATACACATACATGCATGTATATATTTAACAAAAATGTTATGTTTATATATTAAATATATTTATATATATATGTAATATACATTATATGAATATATATAATCTAGATCTGTATAATAAAGAATATATACTGTATGGGTGTGTATTTATATATGCATAATAAATACACAGTACACTCACATATACTATCTAAACAAAAACTTTTATTTTGGATGCGATTAATCGTTTGACAGCACTAATTATATTATATTATATTGTATTGTATTGTATTGTATTGTATTGTTTTATTATCCATCCATTCTCTATTTTCTATGTAGGTTTGTGGGAATGCTGAAGCCTTTCCTAGCAATATATTTCATTTCATTTTATCACATTACATTACATCTTTTATTGTATTATATTAGAACTTTTGTATCCTTGCATTTTATTTGTTCTAGTTTTAACAGCAAAGCCATCCTTTTACATTGCATTACATTGTTATGTTATGTTATATTCTTATCCATCCATTCTCTATGTTCTGTGTAGGGTTGTGGGAATACTTTTATTTTATTTTTGTTTTATTTTATTTTTTAATTTAAGTTTTATTTTGTTTTATTATATTACATTACATTATATTACATTATATATTTTGTTATATTACAACTTTTGTATCCTTGCATTTTATTTTATTTGTTCTAATTTTAACAAAAAGCCATCCTGTTTTATAATTATTATATTATATTATATTATATTATATTATTTAATTTAATTTAATTTAATTTAATTTAATTTAATTTAATTTAATTTAATTTAATTTAATTTTCATTTCATTTCTCTGTCCTTGCATGTTATTTGTGCCAGTTTTGGCAGCAAAGCCATCATGTTGAATATTATGTTTTATTATATTATTGATTATATTACATATTAATCTGGTTATTTCTTGTCCTTAGCATACACAAGTCTGGGCTATTACATCATTAACAAACTGCATCATGTGGATGAGACTGTGGGGAGTAAGACCCGGAGGGCGTTTCTCTATCTGGCTGCTTTTCCTTTACTTGACGCCATGGTGAGTGTATCGTGACGTCTCATCCCTGGATATTTAGCTGTAATGTCATAATGTGCTCTTGCTCTGACCGTCAGATCTGGCTCGCCTGCCTGGCACAGATGGCAGAGAGTATGTGTGTGTAAGTGTGCGTGGTAAGGCCAGGCATCAGAGCCTATTCAGATCTGGAAACCCATCAAGCTCCTTTGGATGAATAACAGCCCACGCGAACATCCTGTGCCTGTCAATGGAGGTTAAGCTGCAGCAGTGTTTTGTTTAAAGAGTTAAGTCTGGAGAGAGCGGACCCTGTTAACAGGGGGTACATGACCCCTAGGGGATGAAATGTGGCATTGCAGGGGGGTTGCCAATTATTGCTTGATTTATTTTTTTTACTTTTTTTTTTATTGTGAACAAATACAAATTTACATTAAAGAAAAATATAGTAAAACTAAAATTAAGAAGCTAAAGTTCTGCAAAATTTCCTAAGAATCCTTAAAAATGAATCCACAAAAATATTAAGCTTGTTTTGAACTAGCAACATATGAGCAACATATTAGAATGATTTCTAAAGGATCATGTGACACTGAAGACTGGATTAATGGCTGCTGAAGATTCAGCTTTTCAATCACAGGGATAATCTGATAATATTTTTCACAATATTGCTGTTGTTACTGAATTTTTGATCAAATGAATGCAATAAAAAATCCAAACCAAGACATTTGAACATTATTGTATACTGTAATATAAAACTCATGAATAATGCTTTAATGGCTTTGCAAGGGTTACCATCAATGTAGTACCAAAAATGGTGCTATAGGACCAGGGGGGTGGTAAGGGGGGGTGAGGGTTAGGACAATTCCAAGGGCCCGATGCGGGAGGGGATCCCCGGAACGCGATTACTACGGGGGGGGCTCTAATGCTCAAAATGCTGTTCAGGGGGCCCAGAAACTTTATCGGCACCCCTGTATAGGACTAAAATACACCCAGAATTTAATATAATATGTAACGGGGGTCCCTGTTCCATCTCTCACTATCCATTAACGGGATTAGCATATTGTATTGTGTAAGTTAGTGTGACAGTTATCTGTGGTTTCAGGCCTGGACTCATGCTGGAATCCTTCTGAAGCACAAGCACAGTTTCCTGGTGGGATGTGCGTCTATTTCTGATGTTATTGCACAGGTATGTGTTAGATTCATCAAATCAGCATTTCATTGCTTGATTATTGATGTCTTCTTATACTCTTTTCCTGTATTGGTATGTTTATAAGAATGTGAATATGGTTGTGTATGAAGGATAATTGAAGGCGAAGATTATGGGTTATCATAGTCGCGGTGTAATTTGTTTTTATTAATGATGTATTTGGGTTTGAATTAATAATAGAGTCTGTATGTGCCACAAGAACGGCTATATTTATCACTGTCATTGTAATCAGGTTACACGGTTGTGCATAGAAAGTACAGTTTTCACAAATAATATTTCACTCTTAATGAAATCAGAAAAGCATAATCAAAATAGCAAAAATATTTAATAAAGTCGTAAGACACAGGACATACACTGTTGTTTAAAACGTTTGGGGTTGGTTTTTGTTCACCAAGGCTGTATTTATTTTTACAGTAATAAAATAGTCATTTTTATTTAAAATAAATGTTTTCTATTTTAATATCTTAAAATGTAATTTATTCCTGTGATGGCAAAGCTGAGTTTTCAGAATCCATTGCTCCAGTCTTCAGTGTCACATAATCTTTCAGAAATCATTATAATATGCTGATTTGCTGCTCAAGAGTCATTTCTTCTTATTATTAATGTTGAAAATGTTGTGCTGATTAATATTTGAAACTGATTTTCTTTTATTTTTCTTTGAAAATTCCAAAAACAGCATTTTTTTTAAATAGAAATTTTTGTTGCATTTTAAATTTGCATTTACATTTAGTCATTTAGCAGATGCTTTTATCCAAAGCGACTTACAAATGAGGACAAAGGAAGCAATCAAAATCAACAAAAGAGCAATGATATACAAGTGCTATAATACACATGGCAAGGTTTATATAATAAATAAAAAGAAAACCGATAGAATAGAAAAAGAATAGAGCAAGCTAGTGTTAGAGGCCTCTTTTTTTTGCTTTTTGTTAATTGTATAATAAATAAAAAGAAAACAAATAGAATATGATAAAAGAACAGAGAAGCGAGTGTTATTTTTTTAAAGAAAACAAGTAGTTAGTAAATGAATAAGTGCAAGTCTAATATTCATTCTAAATTCATTTTAAATGTCTACTGTCACTTTTGATCAAATTAATGTGTCCTTGTAGTAGTCTATATTGAACTTTGTGAATGTCCTATGTTCTAATTCTGTGGAAATCTGCGGACCTTTCTGCAAAGTTCTGTCGCTGCACATTCTCAAAAATGCATGATTCAAGTTCTGATGTGCAGTGCATTATCAAATGGACAGATGGTCTTAGGAGGACCGGTTGCTCTTTGAAAATGCCTTTTGAAAAGTCAAAGGTCAAGAGTGGTCATGCTTCACTTACAATGCCTCAAGGCCTACAGAAACTGAGAGAGAAAGAACCACAATGTATTTAATTTAACCATCCAATTTAATTGCACTTCATTTTTATGATATAACAGTACTATAGCAATGAGTGGGATGTAAAATATGTTTTCACATGATTGCTTGAGACCAGCTTTGCATGTACTGTTTTTTATCCTCAGTGACGATTCGTGCTCACCTGACTGGTTGGCTCATGACCCTGAAGAAGACCTTTGTCCTGGCGCCCAGCTCTGTCCTCCGCATCATTGTCCTCATTACCAGTCTCATAGTCCTGCCTTACATGGGGTAAGTGTGTTGTGCTTGACTGTACTCACTACTCGTATATAGGTCATTAGTCGTTGTACTTCAGTGCATCAAATTGTATAATAAAATCAGTTAGACTGAATTTAAAAGCTTTCTGTGCTTCAATTTGTGCAGGGTACATGGAGCCACACTTGGTGTTGGATCCCTGCTGGCTGGTTTCCTTGGGGAGTCTACTATGGTTGCAATCGCAGCATGTTATGTCTACCGAAAACAGGTACGATAACACAGAAGCCTGTAGGTTTTTTCTTATGATAAAACTGCTTTCTGTTTGATGTGAATACAACAAAAGGGCATTAACAATATAATCAAGCACCTTTTAACAATACATCAGTGTAATGCTGTGGCAACTCCACAGATATGAATCTACAAACATGTTCATTTCAATAGTATATTGTATATTTTAAGCGTAAGCACATACAGGAGAGTGAGGGTAGTTATTTCAATAACTATAAGGTCTTGAGTCAAAAGTCCAGTTACATAAATGTGCTTTCTCTATCAGGGGTTTTGTATGCCGGTTTCAAAGTTCAATATTTCAGTCTTCCAAACTAAACTTTTTTTAAACACAATAAAAAACACTGACATATAAGGCAAGGGTCAACTATATTATGAAGGTAGATTTTATTAACCTAAATGCTGAACTGTGTTCTTAGAACAAATATTTTTTACCCCCATATATTTCAGTTTGAGATCAATTTGTCTATTTATATGGGGGCAGATTGTCATATATTTTAATTGCTGTAATTTTATACAATTCATTAAATAGTGTAGCTGTCTGTCTGTTAAAGCAATGGTTTTTATACACTACTGTTCAAAAATTTGGGGTTAGTATGATTTTTTTTTAAGAAATTGATTCATTTATTCAGCAAAGATTCATTAATTTGATCATACATGACAGTAAGGACATTGATGATGTTACAAAAGATTTCTATTTCAAGAAATGCTGTTCTTTATTTCTCTATTCATGAAAGAATCCTGATTAAATGTTTCACATTTGACAGTTTTCAGCATTGATAATAAGAAATGTTTCTTGAGCACCAATTTAGCATGTGAACACTAAATATTTTGCCATCACATGAATACATTGCATTTTAAAATATATTAAAATAGAAACCAGTTATTTTAAGTTGAAATAATATTTTACAATCTTACTGTATTTTTGATCAAATAAATGCAGCCCTGGTAAACATAAGAGAAAAAGTTTAAATAAATAAATATTTGTAAACTTTTAAACAGCAGTGCACGTTACACTTTACATTTTAGTTATTTCATGAAATTTTACTGAAATCCCATTAAATTATATGATTTCACAACTCCATATAGTGTGACAACACACCCCACTTTTGATTTTTAAATTCAATTTTAATTTTACAAGCTCCACCACACATATTTTATTGAAAAACCTTTGCAAATCATTCTTTCTTAAACTATTCCACTTCAGTATAACAAATTATGTAATAATTGTTTTTATGAATGATTTAACCAATATTTGTTTGGTCTGTGTTTCATAAATGGAGCCCAGTGTGTTGGGGAAATATGATTAGCATTTTTCTTTCTGCCCACACAGAAGAAAAAGAAAGACTCTGATGAAGACATGACCATCGACGGGGAGGACTCTGCCCCCATGAACGAGGTCAGGGCCGGGGGCCGCATGGACGACATCGTGGAGTTGAGAGAAGAGGATGAGGAAGACTGAGCAGTGGATTCTAGGTTGAGCGGGATGCGTTGTGGGAATCAGGGCCTTCTTGCTTTCTCGGGCAGTGTTCTTATTGCTTACTGTCCCCTGCTGCCGCCTTTCCCTCCTGCCGAAGCGAGAGCCCAGCTCACCTTTTCAGTGTGTGCACAGTTCAAATAAACACAGACTACAGTCGTCTGCTGCAGCATATCTATGTTACAGTACACACGCTGACATACAAATGCGTACATGCGTCTTCCAGCTGCCGTCGGGAGATTTTATTTTCTGATGCAGGACAGTGAAGATATTGTTCTGTACCAAAGCAATGTTGTGCATTAACTGCTATTTTTTCTGTATGCTGATCTTTAATGTGCTGCCGTCCTACACGTTTTGAATCTTCAAAGGAAAGACTACACTAAATGCAGTTACATCATCCGCTTGGAATGTATTTTCTGTCTCCTCTTCTTCTTTTTTACTTCTAATATTTAACAGACAGGACAGACTTGATGCGATTTTTGAGATCCAGAGGCGGTGACCTGTGTTACTGCACAGTTTCAACATGTTTTTTTCTTTCTTTTTTTGGCTTTTATCATTACAAGTAATGTCAACAGAGGATATAAATATATATATATATTACAGATTTTTATTGGAATTGAGAATTAATTTGATGGACATCTTAGAAAAGAAACAGTTTCAGAGTGACAAATGGTTGAAGTTTATGGGTCATCTAGAGAGGACCTATTTTTTTTAAATATAAGTACCATATGTTGTAGGTGTATAAAATATGATCATTTTGTATGGGTGATGTTGTGACCCCTGTATATTGTAGGAAAAGAAAGAATTGGCTTAAGTGTTTTCATAATTACGTCTATTGAAGTATTTTTTGTTTTGTCTTAATTTATTTTGGGCATTCATTTTGTATCTCAGGATGTTCGTGATGGAAAATATTAAAGTAATATAAAGTCTGAATAATGATCCCTCCCTAATGAGCAGTTTTTCAAGTTTCTCCATGGGACAAAGATACACACAGCTTCTAAGGATGTTTTAAGCCGGCGTTTGTTTCATTTTGATTATAGTAAAGTCTGGCTGAGCTTGTTCTGTATTTGAGATTTCCTGCACAATGCAAAGTCATGATAGAACATTTATTACAGTTTCAGAAGTCTTCAGTCCTCTCATTAAACAGTGAAAATGTGGTTTGAAGGGGTCTGTGGTGAGGTTCTTGTGTTCTGTCTACTATTAAAAGAAGGTAAGAGTGTGTTTGTCTCTTTTACTGCAGTTGGTGAGAAGTCTGCAACACAGAAAACGGAGAATTATCCTCTAGATGTCACATATATGGAGTCTGACTAATAGGGAACTAAATTAGGTCAAATTTACCACATTTGCAATGTGATTAAAATGAGAGCGAATACATTGATTTCATAGCGGTGAAATGACGCCCCCTATCGTGGGGGGGTTAAGTAGTTACAATATTCTACTTAATATCTTGATTAAAACCATAAGACTGGGAATGTTTCTTCTGGTAGCATCTTACCATAATGTTAAATTCATTTACAGTAATGAATGCATTACGTGTCATAGACTAACAATTTTTCAGCATTTAATTTAATATATACATATAATAATACTTAATTTAACATTAGTAAACTTAATATGAAAAAAAACATTACTTATTAGTTAACATTTAATAGATTTCTTAGATTTTTTGCTGTTATAATAATAAAAATAATAATACAATGTTAATTATAATTTCATAATACCTAAAGCATTAAAGAGAGAGTTCACTCAAAAATTAAAACGTCATAATTTACTAATCCTTATGTCATTCCAAACCTATATGGCGTTCTTTCTTTCTGTGAAACATGAAAGAAGAAATTTTGAAGAAGTGTTTTTGTTGATATAATGAGTCAAAAGGGTCCAGTGTTATTCTGGACCCCACTGACTTTCATTGTATGGTCATAAAAAGTTAAAATATTCTACTTCAAATATATTATTTTGTGTTTTACAGAAGAATGACATGACTGTCAGATTAGAATGACATGAGGGTGAGTAAACAATGACAGTTTTCATGTTTGCCTGAACCAACTTTGGTGTTTGATTCAACATTTCAACAATTAATTTCCCTTAATCAAACTTTCCCCCTACTGTACATACGACTATTTGAGAATTGAGATATATGTTATCTGGCAGACATTGACAAAAATCTGATGTGTGAATGTGATGAGATTAAAGAGAAATGTTTGGCCTCCACCCACGATAAAGTGCAGACGGTCCAACGCTGTGTATGGTACAGTGCAATCCCATGGGGTCAGGCTTGCCCTTGCGCACATTTGGCTCTGAGACAAAAACCTTTAATAGTAACCCCAAAGTAAAAGCCGTCCCCTCCCCACTTCCCTAACACCCTCCTCTCTCATGACTAAACACGGGCCCTTGGCATTCTGCAAATTAAGGGAAGGCGGGTCGAGCTGAATGTCTGGTAGTAAAGCAGACCTGTCGATTCTCAGAAGGATAGTGTGAGAGGGTGGTGCCTTATGAATCTGTACTAAGCCATATATCACACGTCACTATGCCATGTTGAGCATGTCTTGAAAAGTATACACACATAGAATAGCCTCACTACTCACTCATCCAATTTTTTTCATCCAAAAATCTGTGGAACACAAAAAAAATATTTATAGCATAAAGTAAGTGAATAAAAGTGAATGGTGACCACAACTGTCAAGGCACAATGTTCTGTGAACAAAACAAAACAAAAACTAAAAAATTATAATAAAATTAAATGAAATAAAAATATCAATATGGCTTTTTTTTTTTTTTTAATCTGTTTTGAGTTTGTCGGCCCCTGGAGAATCCTAAAAAAGTCCTTTTTTTTTTTTTTTTTTTTTTTTACAAAGAAGCAGTACAACTGTTTGATAATAAAAATGTTTCCTGAGCACCAAATCAGCATACTGGAATGATTTGTGAAGGATCACGTGACTGAAGACTGGAGAAATAACTGCTGAAAATTCAGCTTTGCCATCACAGGAATAAATTACTTTTTAGCATTTTCAAATATTAAAATAGAAACCAGTTTTTATTGTAATAATATTTCACAATGTTAGCTTCTTTTTTTCTTCTTCTTTTTTAAAAAATACATTCAGCCTTAGTAAGCATAAGAGACCTCTCTATCAATATCAAAAAATCTTACAGACTCCAAGCTTTGAAAATATTATTTTATTGTGCCTATAAAATAATAAATATTTTATTTATTAAGACAATTAAGTATTATTATGGATTATACAATTAAATCAATATACTAGGCCTACGTTTATTCAACAATTCTAAGTCCTAAAAAGATTAGAATTAGGTCCCAAGACACAAATAAACACCAGTTTAAAATCCTCTTAAAATGGTTTAAGTATTTGAATCCTGCTTAATATAACACTCAATTTAAAAGCTTAATTACTGCAGATAAACTCAATATTTGTCTCAGACAGATAATTCATATCACTCAACTGAGTTCAATCCTATGATACTTATTACAGATAGCCACCAGAGGGAAGCACTAACCCCTTCTGAGAGAATCGAGAACGTTTGCTCCTTCATCCATCAGTTCAAGATCAAACACTATATCAGACTTATTTTGACAATCGGTAATGAAACTGACTCTAATCTAGATTTATTTATAATATTGGTTATGATGATTACAACATAGCCTAAGTAGTAGGCAACATTACAGCATTACTGTAATGCAGATATCGACAGTAACTGCAATAATTAACAATAAACAGTTCAATAAATATTTCAATTCTCATTCTCAAAAATAATCGTCAGAGTGCTTAATGTAATTATCAGAAATAATTATTTAGGATAATTAGGATGTCTGTGGATTTACTTTATGAAACCGTTACATTTTTGTGATATAAAATCATATAAAATCACCCCTTCTGACACCCAGCACAAACAGCTGTGAGAGGAACTAGTAAACTGTGTCGATAAGAGGCGTTGGGTTCTAGTGTAGCCTACACTCAGTAGATTCTCGGAATAATCCTCATGCACAACTCAATGTGCAATGTTTTCATTAATGCTCCGCCCCGGAAAACCTCCGCGATGACAAGTAGTACACAATGTGTAACTCGTTTCCATTAAATAAGGGCACATCTTAAGGTTCTTTTTTCATTGCTACATACATTGTCATTCGGTTATGTGTTAATAGAACAACTAACAAGAAACTAACGAGTGTGTGTTCTGTTCATCTTTCTACGCCCTGCAGTATTAAAACCCGCGGGAGCAGCTGTTCGAAATCTTGCAGTAAATGACAAGCAGCCGCTCTGTTGCTGTAGTCGCAGAAGTGCAGAGGTTGAGCGGCGCGACCCACTCCCACTGTGGACTTACTTTCACCTGATAGTTCACATACACTGACATCTCACCATACTGTCAGTTTTCGTTCAGTTTCACCACAGCTACGGTAAGTCTTTCTGAATTATGATGTATTCTCATTTTGGACGTTTTTATGTGTGTATATATATATTTGGCGAACTTTTGGTCTTTAAACCATTTGGACCATAATATCAAGACTACAATCTAAGATATTTTAAGTTCACATGAGTGTTCTGTATCATTTAATACGTGATTCATTCAGTAAGTTGATGAGTTTGTAAGACAATTAACTTTATACTGCACTGAAGTTTACTTAAGATGAATCACTAGTTGTGCAACATTTAAAGGGCGGTTGTTAACCATAATGTATTCTTCACAGGCATTCACCATGCCGCTGAATTCAAGTATGGCGAGTAAAAATTACGATTACGACTACGACTCCTACCAGCCCTATTTCTATTTCGACAACGAGGATGAGGATTTCTATAACCACCAGCACGGACAGCCACCGGCGCCCAGTGAGGATATATGGAAGAAATTTGAACTGCTCCCCACTCCGCCGCTCTCCCCGAGCCGGCGTCCCTCGCTGTCAGACCCCTTCCCCTCCACGGCCGACCAGCTGGAAATGGTGTCGGAGTTTCTCGGGGACGACGTGGTCAACCACAGTTTTATTTGCGAGGCGGACTACTCCCAGTCTTTTCTAAAGTCGATTATCATTCAGGACTGTATGTGGAGTGGTTTCTCCGCCGCGGCTAAACTGGAGAAGGTGGTGTCGGAGAGATTAGCGTCGCTGCAGGCGGCGAGGAAAGAGTCTTCCAGGAGCGACTCTGTGGACGGCTGTCGGTCCAGCCCCAACCTCAGCTACCTTCAGGACATGAGCACCCCTGCCTCACAGTGCATTGACCCATCAGTGGTGTTCCCTTTCCCGCTGACTGACAGCTCAAAGCCGTCTAAACCGTCATCCACATCGACTTCCACAACACTGCCACTGGATACTCCACCAAACAGTGGGAGCAGCAGTGACAGCGATTCCGGTGAGTAACAGCTTTTTATTGCCGATTAAAACTAGGTTTACTTCACACTCTTAGATAAGTTTCGATTTATAAGTTGCAATTATTGCTGCGTATTGTTTTTTTTTTATTTTTTTATTTTTATTTTTTAACGATGTAAGAATGTGTGGTGGTTAAAGCGTTAATACTAGATTGTAGCGTCAATTGCGTAAAGGGACGCCCCCGCCCACTGCACGTTATTTTACGCAAAGTTGTCTAGACTAGAGTGAATAAGCAGAGCGGCAAATTGACATTTGTTTGCTTTTTAACCCAAACAGATGACGAAGAGGAAGAGGAGGAGGAGGAGGAGGAGGAAATCGACGTTGTCACGGTGGAAAAGAGAAAGTCTGTGAGAAAGCCTGACGCAAACGCAACGCATCAAAGCCCCGTCGTCCTCAAGCGGTGCCACGTTAATATTCACCAACACAATTACGCTGCGCAGCCATCCACGCGGAGCGAGCAGCCTGCGGTCAAGCGGATTAAATTCGAGAGTAACATCCGGGTGTTTAAACAAATGAACCACAACCGTAAATGCACGAGTCCCAGGACGTCGGACTCTGAGGATAACGACAAACGCAGGACTCATAACGTGCTCGAGCGGCAACGGCGGAACGAGCTCAAACTCAGCTTCTTCGCGCTGAGAGACGTGATTCCTGACGTGGCCAACAACGAGAAAGCTGCCAAAGTGGTGATACTCAAGAAGGCGACGGAGTGCATAGCGACCATACAAGAAGATGAACAAAAACTGATCTCGCTTAAGGAGCAATTAAGGAGGAAATGTGAACATTTGAAACGGAGACTTGAGCAGCTAAGCAGTTCTTAAGTTGCTTGGACTTAATTTATGGACTGAACTTGTTTTAATCATCCCTGTATGGTTCTGTCAAGTGAACACAAGGTCTCGAGGGTGTGGCAAATAGTGAGCAATCTGACATTGATTTATACGATTACACTGCCACAATTTGAACATAATGGAGGTTAGATTTATTTGTATTTAATTTTATTTTTTAGTAATGAAATGGTCAGCGTTTCCATTTACTGTTGGCCTTAACTTAATGTTTTGTACATATTGCACATATGTATTCAAGATGCTGTTGATTTCTGAATCTCAAAATGCATTTCTCTATAAAACCGTGTTTTTTGGCTAATCCTGTATTGTGGACTCATTACTTGTGCCTATTTCAGTCTCATGATGCCTTCAATTAGGTAATCCATTAAGAAGATGGTCACGCACACACTTGATGTTTAATGGATTTGGCATATTTTCAGTGTATGTAAGACACTCTGTGTTTCATAACTTACCTTGGCAATGCAATCATCTGTTTGTAACTTTAGGATGACTAATGCTTGTCAGAATTACATTCTCTATTTACAAGCATCAAAGCCAGTGCCTTACATAAAGCTACTCATGCTGAATCACACATCTACATATTGATTTCATGTCACGGACTGTTCATGATCTTGGCTACACTGATTTGAGTAAGTGACGTTTACAGTGGGCTCCGTTTTAGTTAACTGCATGTTCTACAAGAAAATAAAAATGTGTGTCTAATTCTGAGAGTACCTAATGAGAGTAAATGGCATTTAACTTTCTTAGAAGAGCTCTGATGCATCTGCTGCCCAAAATGTAACCTTCCCTTCAGTGGAGCAGTTTTGAAGACCACACTGAAACAGGGAATCTCATAAGGAAACTAGCTTATTTTTTCCTGACCTTCAACTCACAACTGCCATGTTTGTGAAAAACGGGTATTTAAGGGTTCGGTAGATGGCATACATACTCCTTTTCATACCCAGTTTTAACTTCTTTTTGTCATTTTCTCTGATATCATTTTTTTTGTCCTGCTAACTGGATGTCAGAAGATTAAATAAACTACTGGATGGACTACTGGAGGACAAAATCACAGAATAAATATGTGCTGTGTGCCTTTTTTGCACACATGCTTAAACATTATCTGTTCACACTTTTAATACTCGAATGGTCCATGACTTAAAGAAACATTAAAACATGCTCCAGTTTGTCAGGCATCCTCAAATGAACCACTTACCCCTGTGGAGCATAAACATCCAGAGGTAAATACTGTCATGTCATTTGACGGTTTGCCTAATCAGACATGCAAGGGTGTATTCTCATCACAATAATTTACAATGCATTATGATTATTACATTCTTTATGGTAGGTAAGTGTCTTTATGACCAACCTTGGACCCATGTAGATGAAAACTCAAAGAAAGAAGAGCCCTGAATAAGTGACATCTACCACAGACAACGTCTGCTTGTCTGAGACAGGCTGTCATTTAGGGTAAAAGATTTAGTGTCAAACACTATGATATTTACAGTCACTGTTAGGATGATAATGAAGCTAAACAGCCTATATAGGATAAAATCGTATTGTTTGTGGAGTAGATGAAGTTGTCGCGCTGTGACGTCAAGCCCTGTTCTGACAGATGCAAACTAAAGCGCTCCACGATGCGCGTGCCGCTGAGCACATGGAGGAGAGAGGAGAGGACGCACACTTAGCAGCCTGGCTAATGTAGCCTGTGGGTCGCAAAATATTGGCAAATGAAGAACATTTCAGATCTGGAAAGTGGACTGACTTGCTTAAGGCGTCCTACATGGTAAGATTCTTATCCATTGTTGCGTTTAAGGTGTATCCAGTAGTTGTGAAACAAAATCTTAGCTTTAGGCTAAACAGTGTGCTCATGTTTTGTGCCACAGGTACTGCAGGGATTTAATTCCGTTTCATAAGTAGTGTTAAATATCGATTTGAATGGGGAACTCGAAACACTTTATTGTAAACCGATATTAATTTTTATTATTAACAATTTTATTATTGTACATTAATTTGGGTAATGGACTTTGCACGTTTATGAGCAGTGATTTGTTGTTGTGAATTGTCAGCTTTTCCTCTTGATTTAATGCCACATAATATTGACATTTGCAGTTTTCTATTAACTTATGTAGGCATGACATTAATGTGACTGTTATTGATACAGTTTTTATGTTACCTATAGAAAACATTCATTTGAAGACAACTTTAAAGACTTTGTATAGCGTTTGTCTAACTTAGTTGTCTAGAAATGGTTATAAAAGATATTACAGTGCACTCTTCTGATTTTTTGTTTTTTTGTGAAAAGAAACATAATTTGCTAAAAGATTCCAGTGTTATCCTGCCAAAAATTGAGGTTTTTCTTTTATGTGCATATTTTATAAATTAGTTATTTTTGTCAGCAAGCAGATCCATTGATACATTTTGAAAGTATGATGCATTAAATGTATTTACCAGAAAAAGGCCACACAAATTAAGGTCAAGTTTGTAGATTTATTCTGTCTTAATTTGAAGGTCTTGTCATTGTCACTATGAAAGCAGTGCCTGTCTTCCCTCAGTACAGTGTGTTGACGGAGTTCATAAATTATTTTCTAAGGCACTCAGTCTATCATTGGAGTTAGGACTACCCTGTAAGAGATTTATGATCTGGAGGCTGATGGTGGACGGTCATGAGGAGGTTCCCTCTACCATTATATGATGTCAAATTAAGTCACGCAGTCTTCATGATCCTGTCAAGCATGGAATCCTGTAGAAAAATAAGTGGGAGAACGTATAATCCTACATATGCAAATAATACAGTCTCTGTAGGACTGGTGTTCCAAACCTGTATTTGTTTCTTTCTTCTGTGGAACACAAAAAAAAATGTTTTTGTCCATACAGTAAAAGTCAATAGGGTGCTGTGTTGTTTTGAACCCCATTGTCTTTCATTGGGACAAAAGCATTTGAAACATTTTACAAAGTATCTACTTTTGTGTTCTGCAGAAGAAAGTCATACAAGGACAAGAGGTTGATGTACAGTAAATGATAGAATTTTTATTTTTATGTCAGCTTTCCCTTCCAGTTGTCCTGTTGTGTCCCTGAAGGACTGCTGACACTTCCAAACGTGCATCTCATCACTAATGCAGGAGCATTGTGCGGATCTGTAAATTAAAAAGAACATACTTGCCTGTACAAAGCTTTTCCATACCTTCAACATGTCCCTTGAGAGCAGACCTGACTCGATCATATAGCTTAGATTTCAGTCTGTTACTTTGCGGTTGAACGGTCACCATGATTAAGTGGTCCACGCATGGGCCCCCTTTTCAATGCAACTGACATTTTCAGTTTAGGATCATCTGTGTTGACCTCAGGTCTGGTGGGTGTGACCATATTTACAGGGAATATGGCACATCACCCTCAAGACAGTTGACATATCATTTGTCTCTCATATAAACTCTATACTGCTGACTTCATTATTCATTGGTCATGAAGCATGGATTCAGATGCACCTGGGGAGATGTAGCAGCTGGTGGAGCATACAGAAATGATTGCTGCAGCAACATGGCTGAATTAGTTTTGATTAGATGAGTGCAAATGTTGAACTGGATGCGCTGGATGGCACTTTGTTGAAGTTAATGATCCAGAAACAGCTGACTGGTTGTTCTCCCATATGGGAACACAAGTTAGTGTTTGGTTAAGGCATCACTTTTCTATCTAAACCCCATTATATAGCTTCATTTATGGGTTTTCAGAAGTTGAATGGGCGTTATTGTGATATAGAGTTTTGCATAAGCTGAAGCCCAAACCCAGTCTGGAAATGACCAGTATTGAGTATTCCAGACTAAAAAGTATTTAAATATTTTTATTTATTTATATTAGATGACAAAATACAGAATGATTAATTAAATATAGTTGCTCAGAAGTGATTTAGTTCCCTTTTGATACTGTCACTCTTGTGACAATCCTGTACTTCTGCCATTACTGTTTTGTACAGTAATAATTTTTGCCAAACCATAGCCAGAAATATTGCTGTGAAATATTTACTTATTGGATATTTTAGTGAATAATTTAATTTAGAATGCCATTTATTACTACAGAATAGTTATGAATATGTATTTTTAACTAAAAGTAACAGTTTCGGGTTCATTTAGAATCAGACATAAACAAGAATTGATTCACAATTCAAGGAGGGTGTTCAGTAAAAGCTATAAATGACTCAAGTCTGACTCACTAAAAATAACCATTTCACTTGCAGTATGGAAGCCTGTATGGTCAAATATCAATACCAAACCCGAAACAGGGTATGTGCAAAAACAGTATCAACCCTCTACAGACACCTTGGCAATTGAATCGCCATTTGGCTAGTAAATTTTTTTGTTTACTCGCCAGACTGAAATACTATATATAATATGTGTGTTTGTAAAATGGCACAGCTTTTTAAATATCTGAAAGTACACTCTTAACATCAGTCAGTCAAGCATTATAATATGATAATTAACACTTGGTAACTATGTATGAATGCAAATTAGTCATTTTAACTGAACTTAGGACTGGTGGTGGTGCTTTTTTTTTTTTTTGGTCATTCAGGGGGAAAAAAAGAAAAATGGGGGGGGGACGAACAATAATAATACTATAATATTATAATACTATATACTGATAATAATACTATAATACTGATAAGATAATAATAATATACGAATTCTACTAATAAGAACAATATAAAACGCACCAAGGATTAACAAGCTGCTGGATTCATGAATGTTAATCAGGTTGTGTGTGTGTTCACTGGAACTGATTTGCTGAAATCAAAACCGAGACAATAATAAGTGAGCGCCAGCCAATGAGATTTCATTGTGCATTAGTTCCGCCCACTACCGTAAAACCCGGCAGTTCTTAAAAGCTGAAGAATTCCCATCATAGTTGCCAAGTCCGCATTATACGTGACTTTGGGATTCTTTTTTTTGTAAAAAAGTCGCGGGTTGCGGTTTTTTGGGCTTATTTAAAAAAATATGGTTGCTTGTTAGGGAAATCTGACAAGCAACTTCGTTTCTTTATTTGTTCGCCGTATTCTCCAATGCATTGGTTGACACTCTGTCTGCCAAATTGTTCTTGCCAAATGTCAATTGTTTTTGCCAAATGTTCCGCCCCCTCCTCCCCCTCATTGGAGAAAATCACATTCAAAAAGAAGACGCGTGACGCTGTAATCCAAGCGATGATAGAAGTAGACGTAGAGGAGTGGGATGACTTTCTTTTAGCCTAATTTTTAATTTTTACAATGTTTTTGTAATGTATTAATTATCATGGGCTCTAATAAAAAACAAGTAGTCCTGTACTAATACTAAAACTATATAGCCTATAAATTTAATTCGAATAGCCTATATTTTAGTAGGCTATACATATGTGGCTATGTTACAGTTCCCCTTTGAAGCTCTTGTTTTTCTCCTTTTCCATCTCTCCAATCCTATTCTGCTCACATGTGATTGGAGATGAGTTTTTTGTTCTCACTTTGTTGCAGTTTGCTGATTTTTGTAAAATAACATATCTGTTTTTACTTTTCAGATAAAAGAGTGTTTTCAGTTTAATATGTTGCAGGTTCATTTATTGGTTATAAATAATTGATAATAAATAATATTGATGATTTTTTGGGCTTGTTTTTTTAAGCTGCGGTTGCTTATTTATCTTGTGAGAGTTGGCAACAGTGATTCCAATAGAACTCCGTTATTTTGACTGGAAAATACATCAAAGAATATCGTTTACATGTAGCGCATCAATTCTGCATGTTATGTAAGACACTCTCTCTCTCTCTCTCTCTCTCTCTCTCACTTTGCGTGTGTGAGAGAAAGCGACGGCGAGTCGTGCACCTTCACACTAGCGTTTACGTTACGCCAAATACTCAAACACAGGTGCGCTGCGCATCCATTGAGATGAAATGAAAAGTATCACAGATTGCTTGACAGAGAATGAAACTCTGAAGCGCTCAGAGTGTTTGGCTAGTGAAAATATATCTGTGCTAAACTTATACTTAGCCTCCAACTCACACACTGGCGAGTAAAATCTGAGAATTTATTAGCCATTGGCTGATATTAGACATCATTTAGTCGCCCAGAGTGAAGATTTAGTCGTATATGCGAGTGATTTACTCGCAATATAGAGGGTTGATTATGTGAACAGAGAGTAGTATGTCTCAATTCACAGTATTGATAACACAGTAGGCAGAAAGTCCCCAGATGATCTACTATTTTCAGCGAGATTCTGAAATTTTACTGTCCCACAAGGCCACGAGAGGATTTGTGAATGGCAGTGAAGCAACTGACGCTGGTAGGTCACATGACAATGACAACATGATGAATGTAGTACGTCAGGCTTACATTCACAATACACACATTCTTACTATACAGAACATACTTCTTTACATGCAAAGTAATTAAGTAAAATAAGTACCCACTCAGAGTCTGCATTTCTAGACGCAGCCTCACTTTTTTATTTCCGCCCTCAGTGATTAAAACCAGAAACGCTGTAATTCTTACAGGCACGGTTGTAAAATGCTTTGCTCTGACTCATAGATGGTGTATGCACAAAATTTTTTTCATTAAACGTTAAAGAATAATGTTTTTTCCTTTTGCATAAATTGCGAACTCAACATAATTAATTAAAAAAATGGTTCAACCTCATATTTTATCAGACAGCAGGCATCTATTGTTACATCATAATAGAAACATTCTGTTCATCTGTAGTGAAAGTCAGACTGCGGTTAGGATGGTCACTTAACCACGGCCTGAACTCATGTTCTCTTTCATTTACATAACCAGA